CTGTGAGTTCAAGACCAGGTTGGTCTACAAGAGCTAGTTCCAGGACAGTCTCCAAAGCCACAGAGAAACTCTGTTTCAAGAAACCAAAAAACAAATCCTTTTTGGCCTCAGTTTCCCCATTTATAATATAAAAGGATTAGAGTCTGAGGGTTGGTGTGACTCTCAGAATTAGAAAGGACCCTGGAGGTGAGCCTAAGACCTTGTCAGCCAAGGTTGGATCACGCTGGAATCCCAGCCAGGGAATCATACATTGCTGGGGATGCAGAGTTAGGAGTGGGTATGGATCCAGGAGAGGAGAGGCCAGATGTTAGAATGAACAATCACCAAGACAGCCAGATCCTATGTGTAGACTTGGCTGAGGTGGGTCATAGATTCTGCTGTGACCAAAGCACCCTGCTGTCAGAAGCCCTTGTGGTCCTGGATGGCATCTGTAGGCTTTGGTGAATTTCCTCAGACTGAAATCCAGCTGCTTCTGAATTCATGTACACTGTGATGTGTGTATGTAGTCTAAGACCTGGACTCAGACACTCAAAATTCTGTTCTAATTTACCAAGTGATCTTAGACAAGGATTTGAGCAGTATAATGCACAGAAGCAAGATACCTATTTGTATCAAAGCCAATTCCAAAAGAACCATCGTCCTCCGAGCCAGAACCACCACTCCTTGGATGGCTGAGGAAAAATCATGGGAGCCAAAGCTCAGGTAAAAGTAAGAAATGGAACCAACTTCCCACCTCACCCAACACTGGGCTCCGAAACTTGATTCCCCTGCCTAGGTGGTGACCTTGAGACTTTGCATGCTCTAATTCTAGCCTGGAGTGGAACGACATCTTCCCTCCCTTGGAGTATTTTCTGAGTACCTACTAGATACAAACCTCTGTGCTCTGTAGAGTGAATCAGAGATGCCTAAGACATGTGCCAGAGAGGAAGGATACAGGTGATTAATAACCGTGATGCCATGGAAAGAACTCCCCGCTCTTGCCTTAGACCTGCTCTTCCAGGGCGGGGTCTGGCTAGACCAGCTCTCAAGGGTGGAAGAGCAGATCAAGCTGCCCTGAGAACTGCCGGCCACCCCCCCCCCACCCGCAGTATTCTTCTCAGGAAGGCAGGCACTTGTCCCCTCTCACCTCACTGTGTATCTTGTTCATATTCGTTCACATACAGTGGTGGTATGCTAACCGACATCAAAGACATTTATCAGTTAGCGTCTATATACTTGAAGGGTGGGGAAGCTTCCAGTTCTTGCTATCCAGAGGCCAGTGACAGAACTTTGTCTTAGGACTTGGACCCTGGGGCCTTCCTGTGTGGCTTTGGCCAGGATAAACCCTTTATAGTCCAAGTTCTTCATCTCTTGAATGCAGGGCCAGGGTCACAGAGGGGGCTAAAATTTCATGAGTAGTGATGACTGATAGCAACATGCTTGCCTTGCTTTCCCTTTAACATTTGTGGGTTTTATTTTGCTTTTGGGTAACTGAATTGCTGAGCATCTCTGTGGAAAGATTGGAAATGAAGCCAGGACTGGGTTCAGACTGTAGCAGTAGAAGCTGTGTGTGTACAGTGGGAATAATGCATTCACAGAAGGAAGCAGGATTGGAGAGCAATAAAGAGGGAGACAGAAATGGAGTCTGTTGAAAGGGCCACTGTCCATGGCAGTTAGAAATAAAGACTTTCATTGGTGCCATTGGATACCCCAAGGCAGAGGAAGGAACAGCTGCCACCTAGCCCTTCAAACCAACAAAGTGGTGACTAGTCATGGCTGCTCAAGTTGGGTTACCTCAGAGCTTGCAGAAAAATATGGTGGCAGGGACCTTTGGACTATGAACAGAGGGGAGCCGGCAGGAACAGAAAAAGCCCTGACTCGAAGTAAAGTCAGATCCAGATGTGGCCATGTCCACCAGAGCCAGGAGCAGTGAGTTCAGCATGCCCCAGTCTCCACCTGCCTTCAGCTAAGTAGTTTCCCAGGCATCTGATGTGGCACCTGGCTCCTGCAGCCCATGTTCACCGACTGGCTCTGTCGCACATCCCCGTCAGCAGTTACTGGGACTATACTGATGCACATAGGCCACACAGAGGGAAAGGGCCTACTGATTAAATCAGCAAACCCTATTAGAAAACAGGCCAAGTCACTCCTAATAGAATTTTATGCTTCTCGTGATCTTCGATGACTCCTGTGCCAAGGTTAGATTCTTCCCAAAAGTTCATTCTCTTTCAGGGGCAGAACCCTCACACACAGCTGTGTCCTCTGGGGAGGAAATGTGCTCTCTCAGTAAACCAGAGCCTTCCTAATCTGCTTGAGAGTCACTGTGCTCCTGGTGGGGGAGTGCAGTGAGAGAGCTCTCCTTAAGGAGGCGCAGTGTGGGGGTGGGGTGGGTGTTCTCTGAAACTATTAGTTGAGAGTGCCTGTCATGCTATCATTTATTTTATGCCGTCCTACTCCTCCCTCATTCTCCCTCAACATATACAACGCATTACAGATACCAGCACGGAATGTTTGCACTGAAAGAAGCTGACAAATAGCCGGGCCGTGGTGGCGCACACCTTTAATCCCAGCACTCGGGAGGCAGAGGCAGGCGGATCTCTGTGAGTTCGAGGCCGGGCTGGACTGACAGCCTCCAAAACAATACAGAGAAACCCTGTCTCGTAAAACCAAAAAAAAAAAAAAAAAAAAAAAAAAAAAAGAAGAAGAAGCTGACAAATGCCTGCTCCAGGAACTCAGCTGCCTCCTCTCCCACAAGCTTTCCTGCCTCCAGAAGTCTCGAGTTTCATGCAGTCAGGATCGCACCTTTGGGCTTAGAGCAGCATGAATTCAACTGCGGTGTCTTGCTGCATTTAAAACACCACTGGCTTACATACATGGAGGAGAAACAGGCACCTCACCTTGCAAGAAGGAAAACGTCAATTTGATGACTAGCCCAGACTTTAGGCCTTTCTGGGTTGTATTTTTTCACCCCATGGTCTGAGTTGACTTTTGTCACACCATCCCAACACCCCCAGGTACCAGAAACAAATGAAGTGTTGTTTGGTTTTGTTTTCATTCGGGCATTTCTCCTTTCTCTAGTGATATCATCCCTGGAAGACCGAGATGCAACAGGAGGTGAGTCATGTGTCACTTTGCATCTCTTCTAGAATTACATCAGCCAGGCGCCCCGAGGAGCAGTGGCAAGAGCCAAAAAGCCAAGAAGAGAAAGAGTAAGGCAAGGGCAGGCTGTGGAGGAAGGGAGCTGGTTCTTTTTCTGTCTGAGTTTTTATTTCATACTCCCCAGACCATCCCCTCCCTGCTACTCACAAATCAAATATGAAGGAAAAACACCAAACTTTAAAGAGATAATTGCCTGGTACTTCTCGGTGGCATTGGCTTAAAAATCTTTGTCATGTCTACACCCATCACTGATGAGAGCCAAACTTGGTATGTTGTCTGGCTAACACTGCAGGCCCCCCCTCCCAAGCAGGAGCCATACCGTCTCCTCTGTCTTATGCCTTTATCTGTTTTGTTCGGCAGAGGAAGTGGGCAATGTGGAAATTATTAGAAATGTGAACTCTATTAGACAAAAGAATAATGGCCCACACAGCTACCTGCTGGGGGTGTTGACATGGAAGGTCCCAGGCTGGTGGAATGTCTTTCCTGACCTCTACCTGGACATTTAAAAACTTCATTCGACGATACACATCTGCTAGAGCGAACGAGAACTCTACCGAGTCAGAATAGAAGATTAAAGGGTGTGGCCTGTGACCTTAAGAGGGCAGTGAATATTTTAAAAAAATATTTCCCACCCCCACCTCTTTGCTTTTCTTTTTAAAAGATAGACTTATTGTTGAGCCACTCCCATTAATTAGGAAGAAAATTTCACCCTCCCTTCCTCTCTGGTTCCAGTGCATTCCAGTCTCCTTGAGCTCCTTGGGCCTAGCTGTTCAGAACATATTTATGAAGAAAACAAAGCAAAGCGGCCTCGGGACACCAGGGAAGGCCAGGATGAGATCCATTTCTACAGCACAGGAAAAGAGGCCCGAGGGGGCAAAGGGAGGAATAGAATGATAGGCAGAGGGCAGTTTGGCAGCATCGTATTACCACTTGCAGCTGATTGGGTGGAGCCCAGCCTGAGACATCTGGTTGGAGTTCACAACAGAAACAAACACAGAAAGCATGAACACTCCGCAGCACACACACCCACACCAAGTCAACAGCTCCTCTGCCTTCTTCCCTGACGGGTTCCCACTGAGCCAGGCTGGACTGTAAGGGAAGGAAACGGAACCGGGCTGCTAATGCTGTCTCCCCCAACCCCACCTGCACCATGACTCACTCCTGGGTATCTGGAACCTACAACTTTTCTATTCGCTTTTTTTTTTTTTTACTGAGAGAAAGGCAAAGCAGACCTCGCTCCACAGAGTCCCTTTTAGAGTGCTAGTCAATCTTCAAAGCACTGTGGCAATCTGCAGAGGAAAAAGATTATATACATTATGCTTATACTTGATCATTAGGCTGAACCCCAGGAGGTGGTTAAAAAAAATAGCACATATCAAGTCAACTCAGTAAACAGCCATTCCCATCTAAAGAGTGTGGGCAATTGAGTTTACTCTAACCTCTCCAAAAATTAACTTTAAAAAAAAATCCATATGGCAGCATAGTGGTTCACATCTTTGACCCCAACACTTGGGAAGCAGAAGCGAGTAGATCTCTGAGTTCAAAGTCAGCCTGTTGTCTATATTATGGAGTTCCAGGCCAGGTAGTGTCCCTGTCTCAACAGCAACAAACAAGCAAAACCCCACACATACAATGAGAATATGAAATATGCATAAGGCTGATCCAAAGCACTCTAGGAGATGGGTAATATGGTTTCACTGTCTCCTTTCCAAGCCCCATCAGGACCACACTGTGGGTGGAGGCACAACCCCCTGCCGCCTCACAGCCAGTCATCCTCGGCAGCATTTTCAGAGGCTGTTCTGACAGCTTTTCCTCTTTATTCTCACCCCACTGACATGCAAAGGGAGCCAAAACAAAGCTGCTCAAAAAATAACAAAATGTTTTATACACATTTCCGTATATACAACTGAACAACATTTTACAGCTATCTTTTGCACAGCAAAAGATATATAAACATTCAGCTCTGAGAACAACAGTTATGTACAAAAAAAAGTCAAAAATACTTCACAAAGGTGCAAAACTATTTTACACAGCATCATGGAGTATACGCTCTTTGGGAAAGGAGGAAGGTGTGTGTTTCTAAAGGAAAAATCCTTTTTTTTTTTTAGATATTAGATGTCTTTAACTGTAAACAAAACACAACTTTCATACCCTGCCCTCCCCAGTACAGTTATTTGAGAAATTTGGCATACTTTCAAGAGTTTTTAGTCTGAGGTAAACAGTCCGAGTTCTCATAATGAAAAGAGCTGGGGGCAGGCAAACAAGTGCCAGCAGAGCCTCCAATATTATCAGAGTGACTCTGTTAATGAGATATTGATGAGAGAGAGGCCTTCCAGTCAGGGGGTCTGGAGAGGAAGTTACCCCTCCTTCCCAAGCCCCAGCTGCCTCACAAACAGGAAACTGGCTGCTGGGCACCTCTAGCCCGCCCTTGGCCGTTTCCAACTTCAGCCAGCTTTCCCGTTTCCACAGTTTCACCCACCCCGAGGGCCTGTCTATCTTTCGATTGTAGTGCCTCTCTCTCCTGAACCATCTCATAGCCAAAAATGCTGGGGCAAGATGGGAGAGAAGCAGCCCCTGGGACCTCCAAACTCAGGTCTGGACCTCGGGTGCATAAATGTCCCTTTCCTGGAGGTTAGGGGGAACAGTACTAGACTGGGGTGCCAGGTGCACAGAGAAGTTTTCTGGGAGCTTAGCCGGAGTAGGGCTCATCTAGGCTGGTGCTATCAGCAGGACCCGACGGGTTGCCAGAGGTGGCAGAGGGGGCGTCCAGGCCTCCGCCCTCGATGGAGCTCTCACTGCCCGTGCTCTCGCCCGACAGCAGGCGTGTCACCCTTAAATCGGACTCCAGGGTGCGCACATCATTGCCAAAGCTGAGGTCGCCCAGGTCACTAATAAGCTGTGACAGTTGGGCCTTCATGTCGGAGGCACAGCCCGGCAAAGGAGGTGATGTCCCGGAGCTGGGGCCCAGCGAGACTTCGTTGCCCCGCAATGCCTCCTCGTGGCCATTCTCCAGCGGGTCCAGCAAGTCCCCACATTCCAAGTGCATAGCCACCACCAGCGCCCTCTGCGCCTCGGCCTCTTCCTCTGCTGGGTCCCCATCCCCCACATGGTTCTCTTCTTCCTCCTCCTCCAGGCAGTCCTCGAGGTGCTCCTCTTCTTCCTCCTGCAGCTCCTCCTCCTGCTGTTCCCCAAGCAGGTCCTCGGTGATAGAGCCTAGCTTGGGAGCGCTGCGACTGCGCTCCACTGGCGGCTTGTAACAGCAAGGTCCGTGCAAGAGCAGCTTACGCAGCGGCACTAGCGGGATGGTGTGTGCACCCACCAGCTCCTGCTGCTGGTGACGCGCATCGTCCCGCCGCTTTAGACGTTTAAACTCTGCCAGAGCGTTGGCAGACGTCTGGTAGAGCAGCAGGGCCATGGCCTGAGCCTTCTCGGGCTTGGATACAAGCACCGCGTGGCAGCGTAACATTACCGCCTTGTGCTTCAGCTCATGCCGGTACACCCAGGCGAAGACTTTGGGCAACCGCGCGTCTGCCACACAGTAAGTGACACGGTGCAGCAGGTAGAGGTGGCCCGGGCGCCGCAGCGCTCGCTCCTCGGCGTGCACCATGCGGATGCCTTGTGCGCTCACCGTCAGCTTCATCTTCGTTCCTTGACGGCCTGCCTCGCTCTTGCTCCAGATCTTGCCCACCGCTAGGTCCGTGCAACCGTCGCCGCGCGCTTGGATGGTGGTAGCATTACCCAGGTAGAGCACGGTGTAAGTGGGGTCCTCACTGGTGATGTGCAGCTTCTTGCGCTTGGAGCGGAACATGCTGCCCACCCGACTGAGCGCGCCTTCCGGGCAGGCCCTAGCCAAGGAGCTAAGTGCGGAGTAGTGCAGGCTCACAGCGTAGCCCTTAGGCTTGGACGCCTGCCGCGGCGGCGCCTCGGCCAGCAGCTCGAACTTGTGCTTCTTCCACGGCAGCATCTCCGGAGGACGCCCAGGAGCGGCTGGGCGGCGGCGGCCGAGCGCGGCGTGCGAGCCCCGCAGGGCCACCAGCCCCGGCTGCGCTTAAATAAAACTCGAGCTGGGAGCACAACTGGGACAGAGAGAGGGAGGCAGCAGGGGCCAGATAGTGTTTGAGAACACCGCAGTGGGTGTGGGAGAGGGGTATAGAATATTAGAACGAAAAAAAAATTCAGGAGAGAGAGAGAGAGAGAGAGAGAGAGAGAGAGAGAGAGAGAGAGAGAGAGAGAGAGAGAGAGAGAGAGAGAGAGAGAGAGAGAGAGAGAGAGAGAGAGAGAATATTTTTACAGAAGCCTAGATGAGGACCAGGACAAAAGTCTCAGACAAGCAACAAAATAAGAGAGCGGAGCGGAAAATATTTTAGAAAAAAGCCATATGAGTGCGTGCAAATAAATAGAAGCGGGGGGGGAGACGGGGGGAGCTCGGCCAAAGCACACAGGGTGGTTAGAGAATAAGCAGGAACTCTTCTTCAGCGAACGTGACACACACACAAGTCTTGGGCCAGGGCCAGGAGCCGCGGAAACTACAGCAGTGCGCCCAGGAGCCGGGGCTCCCCACCCTAGTGGGTGCAGGAGAGGGCGAGCCCCTCGGTTGGGCTGGTCCCGGAATAAGCAGCTTGCCCTAAGTGCTGTCCGAGTGGTCCGGCTGGCCGCGGCGGGCCAGGCACAGCAGTCCCGCGGCTCACTGCATCCTCGCTCCGAGGGGACACCCGGGACTAGCGCTCAGCCGGCTTGGCCAGGGTAGCGCGGGGCTCCGGGAGCAGGACGCGCGCATTGTCAGTTCCAGGGACTGTCGCTACCTCATTGCTTCCCTCCGGGGGCGTCCGACTCCGCTTCGGGGTTCTCGGCGGTCTGTAGCGCGCCCTCTGTGGTCGTACACGCGGTGGCCGGCTCGCTCGCCTCACATCATTGCGGTCCGGGAGGAAGATCTCGGGTTAATATAGGCCGGCGCGAACCATTCGCCGCGCGGACAGGGGAGGAGCACCGAGGAGGATCCACAGGGCTGCGACGCCGGACGCATTTCTGGCCTCTTAAAGGGGCCGGGTTACAAGCACTGGTCCAATCAGGCAATCCTGTCCCAAATTTACCAGCATCTCTTTTATGTATAGAAACTACAAAGACCTGGAGTTACCCGGTAGCAAAACTTTGACACTCCACCCTAGGCTAAATTGCAACTCACTGAATAAATGTATGTCTAGATCGAAACTTCTGGAGGAGGTGGTGGAAGATGTGATTGTAGACTAATTTCCTGTACAAAAAGGTTGGGGAATTTTTTTTTCCCTCTGAGACAACTTCAAGTGAATTTTCAGGCTCTGTTCTCTGATATTCTTTAATAATCGTCTATTAAAGGAAACACAAGAGTCAAGGACTTAGTTGTTATTGTCTTGGTTCCATCTGCAAGTATGAAGAGAAAGTGGCAAGATGACTGGAGGGAACGATGTTGAACACAATGGTGAGTGGTCAGTAAGTTATGGGCTTCCAGTTCCTATCGCGACCCAATAATACCCTCTCCTGCTACAGACCTTCAGGGTGTGGGGCACTTTTCTGAGATATACGACATTTCTAGGTAAGGCTGTGCTGCTGTTTGTAGAGCCATCGGTCTTATTAAATCACTCATACACTTTGGGTGAGAAATCTTAGGGAAAATTCAAATGACATTTTTCATGCGCTAACTGAACAATGTGGGGTTTGTTTGTTTCCCCCTCTTTCTATTTTTTTCCCCGTCCTTTGAGACAGGATCTTGCTTTCTAGATCAGGTTCGCCTCCAAGTGGGATCCTCTTGCCTCCAATTCCAGAATTACAGACATGCATCTCCATGCCTGGCTCTGGATAAGATAATTTTAGTCACCCACCAGCTTGCCCCTCTACCAGTAAGTTATTTGTGGGCCCTTGAAGCAACCTACTGACACTAGGGACCATTCAGTCCAAGCAAAACAACTTCTATTTGATGAGTGAGACATACGAGTGAACAGAAATATTTTTTGCAGAGCTAAATTCAGCCAGAAAAAAAAAAAACACCAAAGTCCCCTGAGAATCCGGGAGAAGAGTTCACTGTGACTAAGAAAATCAAAAAGACACACAGAGGTGTGATGTTTGAAAGATGATTTCACCAAACAGGAGGAGAATTGGAGGGCTTTCTGAGAGTGACAGCTTACAGAGCGAAGATGGAAGCACTTGTGTAAGATACGATGAGAACAATAAATGAATGTTTCCCTATCAAAGAATTTTCTGACAATGGATTAAAAACGCTTCTCCTCTCTGGAACAGTGGTTCTCAACCTTTCTAACACTACGACCCTTTGATACGGTTCCTCATGTTGTGGTGACCACCCCCACACCATAAAATTAGTTTTGTTTCTACTTCATAATTGTAATGAATTGCTACTGTTATGAATTATAATGTAAATATCTGGTATGTAAGACGGTCTTAGGTGACCCCTGTGAAAGGGTTCTTTCAAACCCCCACCCCAACCCTCCCAAGAGGTCATGGCCCACAGGTTGAGAGCTACTGCTCCGGAGAAAGGAATGACCCTTGCTGGCATGGCTGGCTGGGCCTGTGAAGCCTCTTAATTAGGGTCCTACTGCCTCACTTCCTGACTGTGTGGGGTTTCCAGACACCTCTTTGGAATGAACTACAATTATAATAAAGCATCAAACCATCACTGGCTTTTCTTTTCTGCTAAAATGGCTAGAATATCAGTGAGTGACAGTCATGATAGCTTACAATCCATAGGACAAAAAAAAAAAATCTAGAGGAAGCATACTGACATAGCCTCAGATGAGTGCTTTTTCCTGATCTATAATCCCAAAGTTTAGATTCTAAAGTAGACCCACACTCAAGCATTTCAACATGGCTGGGACATCTAAGGGCCAGAAGGGCTTGGGGGAAGAAGAAGAGGTCCAAGACGGGTCTCACAGCTCTCAAGGCATGGCCATGAACTACACACAGTGACCAAGAAATCCGAGAGATAGTAATAAGGAAGCTCCACTAGCTACCACAGCTCTTGGTAACAGTCAGAGTGTCAGCACCAGATGTTCAGGCTGTGTCATGCCTAGCTATCTAACAAGCTTCTTTTGATCTTGGGAGAGCAGAAAGGTTCTAATGAGAGTATCCCATGTGTGAGTCACATCACGGGCTTGTGCTCTAAGGCCCAGGAGGGAAGCCTGGCTATCTAGTTTCTCCAGGCCAGCCTCTGGGGCCTGCCTACCTTGCCTTCTGGAGAACCCAGCCACCCTTGCAGAAAGCACCCATCACAACTAGGCTACACCTCCTCCGTGGGAGGGGGGGAATAGGAGACAGGCCAGCATAGGATACATTGTAACATTTGAGATCCAGGGCAGCTAGTAGGAGAGTATCTCCAAGAGTCCATTGAGAAACTGGTTAGACACTACTACTGTACTTTTAATGACACTGCTCCATCTACTGGTGGCAGACGAAAGTGCCATTTTCTCCTAAAGCTGGACAAGCCAGTGATTGAATCAGTAGAGCCAACGCACAGTTGGAAGGAAACACTGCCCATAGGAGTGCCAGGCTCGCCTTTGGCATTTGAGAACCAGCCTTTTATCTCCTGGAGGGCTTTGGACAGGCTTTCTGTCACCTTGTGTTTTGCATAATGCTCCGCCATCGCTATCCTCCTCCCCTGATGGATTTCCCACTAAATGGATATTGACTTCAAGGGAGACAATGGTGAATCTGGAATCTTTGAGTCCTTCGAAAACTATTTGTTGAGAGTCTGCTGTGGTGATGACGTTTCTGGGAACGAAGCGGTAGAGACGTCTGGGGTGTTTGTTTTCCTGGGAGTGACAGCCTGCGGAGAGGCAGATAAGCAGCTAGTGATACGTCACTGGTGAGCAGGTGCACGACTAGGACTGAAAGTGGCCACTTTCAAAGCAGGAACCCTGAAACCTGAGAGAGCCAGGCACTCGACGGTGAACACTGACCTGCACCAGCCAGTAAAGTTGCCATATGGACCTGTTGAGCACCCAGAGGCAATTGGCTCAAGTTGAAGTAAGGCACTAGCATGCTTTTGATGACTCAGTAAGACAAAAAGTTATAATAGTTTCATGTGAATTTTATGCTGAATGACAGCATTTAGGCCACAGTGAATTAGATCGAATGCATTGCATTGAAGTTAGCTCTGCCTGTTCCCTCCATCCTCTCTGTGGCTATAGGATTGCACACAGGCAGTACTGGCCTAAGTAAAAGGCACAGCTCACACGAGGGCCTTTAGGATTTGAAATAAGATCAACCGACTCAAGGAATTCCAAGCTTCTTCTTCCCCTTCCGTAATCCTAACGTCTCACTCTTCAGGCCGTTTGTCCTTGACTTCTGTCACGTCAGTTTTCAGTCTTTGCATGGTCGCTGCCTCCTTCGCTAGCATTGATGAGAGGCCATCGAGTTATTGGAGTGCTGCCCTCAGAGAGGTTACCACGGTTTGTGGGGGACGATTTACTAACTTTGACCTCTTCAGTATTTTTAACTGCAAAAATAATATCTGCCCAGATCCATTTCTCTGGAAATATTAAAAAGTTAAAAAAATGAGGCTAAATATATAGTTTTCAAACAGAAACCTTGGATTGTAAAGACAAACAAAACAATCAAACAAAAAATCCCACATACTTTAGGTAGTTCTACTCACAATAATCGTAACCAATGATGACTAAATATGGTGGTTCATGTGATAAGAGAGCAAGAGATGGTCTTTTCAATTTACTTGGCAAAAGCACTGCCCTGTTGTTATCAGCCCAGGGACTCTTTCTGAGGCTGTCCATATGCACTCTCTGTTTTAGATCCTGGGGTATATCACAGGGTAGAATGAAGAAGGGCACCTACCAAGGTTAGGAGGATGCTGGGCACCTCAGGGGCCACTAGCCATCACCCACTCTGGTGCTCAGACTTGACCAAAAACACCCTGATGCAAGTATCTAGCCTTTGCTCAAAGGCTACTTCCTGTGGCAGAGAGCACACCACTTTCCAAACCTGCCCTTGTCAGCCTTGAGCCACTGATTGTAAGAAAGTTCAGAACAGGCTGGAGAGATGGCTCAGCAGTCAGGAACACTGGCTGCTCTTCCAGAGGTTCTGAGTTCAATTCCCAGCTGTCACATGGTGGCTCACAACCATCCATAATGAGATTTGGTGCCCTCTTCTGGCCTGCAGGCGTACATGCAGACAGAACACTGTATACATAGTAAACAAATAAATCTTAAAAAAAAAAGTTCAAAACAATTTAAACCTCAAACTGTGATTCTGGTTTCTACCATGCACTCTGGTTCTGTTGCCCTTGCATCCCCTTAGAACAACCTTCTTTCTTTCTTTATGAGTAGAAAAGACCATAAATAGAAATGGCCCAGCATGTCCTCCATGTATGGTCCTACAGCATAGACCTTTACCATTATCCATGATAGTGTATTTAGGGTGATTTAAAAGGAGAAGTCATGGAGACAAAAAGAAAATGCTGGTATGTAGGGCCTCTTGGTAGAGTAGGATCTACCTGATGATTCATTTTGTGGCTCCATTGCTGATTGCTGAATGATTGCTACTAAAATGAACACTCATTCAATCAGGAGCTTGTCCAAGGCTGACTGTCCAGGGCCTAGTGATCAATAAATTGATGGAGGAAATAAGTAAGTGAGTGGGAACAGCCTAGCACTTTCTATCTGTAAATTTTTGATTTGGTGATTACCAACCCTATAGCAGACCGTTCAACTTTGATTAAACTATTCTACACTTTCTGTGACTTTTAGATGCAGAACAATAGAACAATATCCTTCTTACCTGACCGCTGAACAGGGAAAAGTTAATTTTAAAGTCATTTGTGAGTAAGACCACAGATACTTCGCATGTAAGAGTTGAAGTTTTAAAAACCCATAGGTGTAAGAGCTGGCAAGATGGCCCAGGAGTAAAGGCACTGGCTACACAAGCATGGTGACCTGAATTGAGTCGTCAGAACTTTTGTAAAGAGGCAAGTAAAAACCCTACTCCACAAAGTTGTTCTCTA